GTTCTCTGATCTCGCTACATATATAATACATTCACCATTAACAGTAACATCGCCTAAAAGATAACAAAGATTCCCAATAGACGAATCCATTAGAGAGAAAGGTAAATGCAAATCTTTGCATGACCATTTTTCTTCCAAATCATTTTCCAGTTTTTATAAATTTATATGAGATTGACGTAATAAGCAAACCAATGCTAATCTTCCCTCGTAACTCAGCAGAGAATGCTTCGCCTGCCCGTAACGCATACAACATGGTAGTTGAATTGGTTTAAACTTTTCAGACCTAACATTAAAGCTCATTATTGTGCTTTTTACAACGCAATAATCAGTGATTTTTGGTATTAACACTTCATAATATAGAACTCCATCGATGCATTTCCAACTAGTACTTTTCAAGCCATACGTAGGACTCTCATTAGTCATTCTCCATGATTCATCAACTCCCAATGTTAAAACCTAAGGCCCATAAACGTGGTGCCTTTCAAGTTTACTATAACCCCATACACTTGGCATGCACAATTATTTATATGTATCTCCAATAGGATCGTATCCTAAATAGTTTGTTCCATGACTCAAGTTTTGGGGTTTGGGTATGGCAACTTGTTCTCTTATGGAAGGATTCCAAATTGTAATATGGTCAACACTATGAGGATGGAATGAGATTAAGCCATTGATTGACTCAAAAGTGGACATGTATTCCTCTCTTTGGGAAAGATTGATATGATAATTGGTAACATGATTATCGAATAAACACTTTTCATCAGGAATCTCATGTTGTGGTAAGGAGAAGAAAAACCTCTTGTCTTCTTTTTTGAAGCTGAGAAGAAGACGAGGCCGAGCTGAAGAATGAGTACCGAATGATTTGATGAAATCTGGTTGATTTGTGATGAATAACCATTGCTTCGATACGCAACGAAACCTTAACAAAGATTTAGCAGGCAATCTCAAAAGTATCTCTCTCGTTACATCAAGAGGAATCGAGATTTCATACGTAAATGATACGTCAAGAGCTCTCTTATCGTTTGCATGGGAAGAATTCGGTGAAAATTGTGTTGTTATATGCATGTTTTTTATCCTCTCTTCTTCCATTTCCTTTGCTGTTAATTATAAGCCCTTTTTTTTGTTATAATCTTTTTTTGTCTCTATGTGCTCACTTTAATCGTTTAATTTCACAATTGTATATGTGTGAATGCCTTTTATATATACTAAAGAAGCATATGAAAAATACAAAAATATTCTCCAATTAAGTTTTTCATATTGTTAACCTTTTTGGGGTTTTATTTGTATGTTAGTTAAATTATTAAATAAATATCATAGCTATATCAACCATTTAAGATATCTTCACAATAAGTTATCCTAAATATAAAATAAATGAATTTGTTTTTCTAAAATAAGATTGTGTCATTTATCTTGACACCAAAATTGATTAAAATTAACAATGTAGGATTCCAACTTGAATGCAAAGTTGACTGTA